GGCCTCTTGTATCCATGGGTTAAAAGTTATACATTACATTTTATTGAACTGAGCTGGCAGGCTTTACCAGTCAGTAGGACTTTTGCCTGAGCAAGAACTGCAGGTGTTATATGAGTGAGTTGAATGGTTGCATGTGTCAAATTTCTAAATCATTCATTCAAAACCAGTAATTGGAAAATATTCCATTGTATCATGTACTTACTAATAGAGGATCTGTAGGCACCCAGATGAAAGGGATCTGATTAATGATAGTACCTGAGATAAGTGGCACTTTAACCAACTTTAACTGTTGATGTATGATGACATAATGTCCCCTCCAATTAATGACAAGGATATAAAACACCTGTATTGAGCAGAGCAGATGCTGCTTTTATGGTTAAATGCACAGATGAAATTGACTTTTAAAGGTCCGACTATAACTTACTTTTCTATTATTTGTTTCTCTATTTGTTTCATGTGTTATGGGAAGAAAATGCAATCTAATCTCAGATTCCACACCTGTGTAAGTAACAACTATATGCAATCCTGCAATTTAACTAAGGGTGATGTTCATAGAAGAACACAAGGAAGATTTACACAGTAATGAATGATGATGATAATGACCTGTTACATTTCTATAGTGTCGTCTCTCTAGAGGATCCCACAGCACTTTGAAAACTATCCCAAATGGATTTCCCAAGTGGAGTACAACATAGTAAACTTTTAGATAACACCTTGTCAGACTGTATGTCATATCTCTTTCTAGTGGCTGGACCAGCCTACTACATTAAACAGCTAACGGAGTTACTCTACCCTAGCTCATGTGGTACAGGTCTGTGCTTCGGTGCTGAAGTTCTCAATTTATGCTGTTGGTCATTCATATAGTCACGAATTAGGCATGTTAGGCAACTGAGCTACTTTATTGTAAAGACAAATCCTTCTAATCCTGGACTATGTTTCAATTTGGTTCAGATAACGGTTAGGACCAATTTATCTATGGGCTATTCATAGCATCCTTTTTCTTTTCGCACAAACCTAGTCTGATGGAAACAAACATATTATTCCGACTATACAGGTTTTTGGAGTGTTTGGAGCAGATTTTCTGCACAAAATAAGAATAATGCTTTGCATCTTTGCAGTGCCTTTCATCTCAGGATCTCAGAGGGCTTTACAAACATTAATTATTCATCCACATAGCCCTCCTCATCCCCCATGACAGAGTTGTTTTACTATATACATTTTTACAGACAGAGAACAGAGACACAGAGAGGTTAAGAGATTTGACCATGGTTGCACAACAGGGACTGGATCATGCACATCATCACTCTTCCAACCCCCTGTCTAGTACCTAGATCACATTTCTCAGATACGTCTTCTTTTTGGTATCTCATGAGGTTTAAAACACATTAACTGAATATTGGCTTTATGGTGATTATATGCATAGATCCTAAGTATTTCTACTCTCAAGGCTATTGTGAGTCTTGCAATGTTTGGTATTTTTCTTAAAGTCCCAGGTCCTGGAGTCATGTTATTTCATGAGAATCTGAGATTTCCTTTTTTAAACAATAAATTTCCAGCCCTCATGGTAATAGAGAACATTTTGAAAACATGTCCTCAGTGTATTCTAAAGGTCTAAAAAACAGAGGGAAAATAAAGACAAACCCCCATTTTTAAAAATCTCTTGATTTTTAAGCCAATCCATGAGTTTTGAGGGCCTCACTCTGATATTTGAAGGATCGGGGTTGACACAACTGGATCCTAACCATTTGTAAACAGAGTCTAAACATGGTCATTGGAAATGTATAGTCTACCTCTTATCTGTTAATGTGGAGTTCCAAGTGTCCCTAGCTGTTTGTAAAGTTCCCACAGAATCTATATTCACAATTCTATGTTGGGATATTGTACATAAACCAAAAAGCCCCAGTCAAGTCACACAGTCAGAGCCTGAGCCCCCCCACCTGAACATTGCTCTTAACACATGAAATACACGGGGCTATCCTGATGAGGCAGTGTTCATGGTTTCATTTCTTCTTTTCCATCCCTCTCTTGAGAGCAGGGGATGACTGAGGAGGAGGCAATGTGCTTAGACCATGGATGGGAATGGGGTACAGATTGTGAGCATCTCCGTTTGCTCAGTAGCAAACCTCTTCGGCCATTTATCAAGTTGTTTTGACAAGCTCGGTCCTGTTGGCCAGACGCATGGTAGCCATGACAACATGGGCTTTCAAGAACTGGAGAAAGAAAGGGCCAGATTTGTAAAGGTATTTAAGTGCCTAGTAGAATTTCCAAAAGCACAGAGGCACTGACACCCATTGAAATCAATGGCAGATTAGCACCTGGCTGCTTTGGAAAATCCCACTAGGCATCTAAATACCTTTACAAATCTGGTCCAAAGTATCAAGTCCATAGTCACAATGCATACCGTGAGCATGCTGGTGTATTATAAACGTATATTTTCATTTTCTGGCACTTTATTATCTTGGAGTCAAACATTTTTAATAGCACTTTAATTTCACAGAGATAATAATAAAGACACGTTCCTTGCAATGCATACACACTATGCAGTATTAATGATTTTATTTAGTTGCACTTTTACAGTTGCTAAAAATGGACACATGTCCATATGCTCAAAGTTCCTTGACTTAATCTTAAAATATAGCAAAATAATACACCAGTATAACTGAAGAGTGGCAGTACAATTCATTTCACTATATCTCTCCCAAGCAAATGCTCAACTCCCACTCCAGAGACTCCCTCCTTACAGCAACTAGACAAGCGTAGAATATGAAATCAGGCAAAAGTGTAGGGAAAGGCGGATCCAAGCTGAAACAAATAAAAGTAATGTGAGTCATTATTATATAGTGAGCAAATCTCCGGAGCTTTGATATTTGGAAAACAGAGTGCAGGAGGGGAGAAGTAGACAGTATGCACGGGAAGAGGAAGTCTGTGCTGAAAAGCAAGGTGAGTGAAAGGATTTTTGTGGAGTAATTTCCAAAAAATGAGGAAGCCATGAGGATGCTTGGCCCTCAGCTAGAGGGATACTGTTCCAGGTTAGGGGACAGCATGGAAAGTGGCATTAGGGTGGATGTGGGAGGAGGTGACAAAGGGAGTAAAAAAGCAAGAAGAGTGGTAAAGGCCAGGGAGGGGGGAAGGTAAGGAGCAACTGGAGATGCGATGAATACAATAAGGTTCATATCCTCTGTGGGGCAAAGCTATGCAGACCTTAAATTTTGAGTGGAAAGGGACAAAGTGAAAGGACCTGAGGAAGAATCAGAGTGGCAGCAGGAGAAGGTAGTACCCAACTTTCAAGTGTTGGGTATTTGGAAGAGGGGAGGAGGCAGAGTCAGGGAGGCCAGAAAGGAGGTTGATGAAATCCATGTAAGGTGTGAATCTGGCATTTGGAGGTTTGGATTGGGAGGAGAGGACAACTATTAGGAAATGTTATACAGGGAGAAGTGACAAAATCTGGGCAGAGCCTGGGTTTGAAGAGAGAGGGGCACAAGCCAAATAAAGGAGAGGGAGGAGTCAAATGAATCCTAAAAAATTTTGGAGTTGTGTGCTAAGGCTTATTTTGGGAGGGGTCCTGTAAGATGCAGCCAGAAAAAAAAAAGCCCACTCTCATACTCATGTACTCTTAGCCCAGTTTGTTTGATTTTAAGAACTGGGTCCTAAGGGATTAAAGACATGTGATGCCCACTGTGTAGGCCAAGCACGCTAGCATTCTTTCACACACCCACAGTATGAAATCTAAACGCGTCTAAGTAGCCACAGATACTAATTGACAAAAATGCCAGTAGCAGTGAATTTCTACAAATGAAACCTAAATGGCAGACTGAGCTGTCTTCTCTTCATTTCGTTGCCACAAGGATGCAAATGAGCCTGGACGAGATTGAGAAAGGCAGGATGCAAGCTCTGTAATCCTTTCTGCTGTTAAATTGGCAATATCTAATACTACTGAGAGAGGCTCAAAACCACTGTTAAATGAGAGCTGAATCATTTACGAGGTGTAACAAACTATCATTTCTGTTCCTGAGACTAGAAACCTCAATGGTTGAATATGATATGAGAAAATAATTATTCTGGGCTATAGTGTGCATTGCACTTAAGAAATGTTTTCAGTGAGGAATTAAGATCGAACTCAATGGTTGATATTTATCTTACTGTCTATTTTAGATAGTTACAGAGCACAGGTCAGCATTGTGTATAGGTGGTGCTTTGACCCCTGGCATTTATTTCTTTAAGTTATATTTTAAATATTAAAACATGGCTCGATACAGTAATTATACCTAAAATTTGGAGAATAGGAAAATCATTAAAAATAAGAATATAGACATAAAGCCTGAGATCTTTCTTCAGGCAAAATTCCCACTGACTTCAGAAAGACTGAGAAAGGAAGCCATGGTTTGCCGTGTTGTGTCTTAAATCAGGCCTCAATCTTGCAATTGACTCTCCCTCTGTGGCCACAGATTAGCCCCATTGAAGCCCGTAAGATTTCATGTGAGTCAGTTGTAGAAACAGAATATTAGATTGTTAATTCTTAGGCTCCAGGACCATATCTTCCTTTGTGTCTATATATGCTTAGCATGAAATAATAATAATTAAAGCTGGTCAAAATTTTTCCAACTGAACAGTTTTCAACTAGAAAATGCTGATTGGATGAAATAAAAATGTCTTGTAGGAACAGCAATGTATTGATTTAATCAAAATTTTGGACAAAAATTATCAAAACAATTTAATTTGGATAAGGTCAAATAACTTCTTTTCAAAGCTATTTTCTTGACTCTGTGGTATAATATATGATATGTGATGTTCGGAGGGTGTTCCATGTGTAGGGGACAGCAAAGGAGAAAATGTAAAGATGGCACTGGGGGAGAGAAGACATCTTTGTCATTAAAATCAATGTGTTTGAACACAAATACCTAATGAACACCTGAAATGCTTTTTGAGCTGTGTGGTTCAGTACCGTTTCCTTGGCTAAAGGAAAGATTTTTAACATTCCTTTACAATCTCACAGCATTTTCTTAAGGAACTCGGATGAGCTTCACTTGTCTTGTGTCACCTTCCCACTGATGGACCATTCTACACTTCACTCAACTTACCAAAAGAGGTTGGTATATTTCTTTTTCTTTAATTTATAAACAGAGAGATCGGATAAAGTATCTTTCCCGCACTCAGTGCTACATTCAGCCACCCTCTGCACCTTACTGCCTGAGTATTTTTACCAAACTCTGGTCTACTCATAGAGCAGGGCGCTACTCAGTATGAATCAGGTGGTGCAGAGATAGCAAATGCCTATTGATTGCTGTCACAAAGCATCTTATAATGTAAAAGAGGACAAGAAACGAAAGCAAAGTAACACTACAGCAAACATACAAGCAAGGCAAAATAACATCCAATTATCACGGCCTTTCAAAAGATTCTAAAATATTGCTTCTGTACGTCAGTTTGAGACATAGAATTATATTCATTGTAGCCCCCTGAGATTAGAGAAGTTCAAGTTTCTGTGCTAGATAAATAAAGATTTCCTTAAAGCGTTTAACAGCTGCAAAAAAAAAGTGAAGACATCCATTTTCTGCAATCAGTCTTACAGTGGCAGGTGCATGTCAAGGGGCATGGCCTTTAGCAGGACCCCAGGGCTGGCCAGAGCATTGCCAATTAATCATCCAGTTAAATGCACTTGACAGCTTGGAGACGTCTCTGATTCTTTTTCTCATGATTGCATTGCTAATTTAGCTCTTTAAACTTACCAAGAACAGGCAAGACTTAAGGAAAGGCTGTCATTTTTTCTAATATATATGTTAAAAAAAATTATATATTTAAGGGAGCATTTTCTAAATTGGTTCAGTTGTAGGACATGAGCTACTAATTAAAACATTTCATTCTAAAACATATGTCACAAGGCACAGCTAATTCTCTGTGGGGTTAACTACAGCAGCCAATACAAGTATTTCGTTAATGCACTGTTACCCTCTCTTCCCGCATCCTCCACCCTGGCTTACTTGTGTGTCTGATTCACCTGTTATGACTGTAACCTATCTGGGCAGGGATGGTCATTTACTATAGGTTTGTACAGTGCCTACCGCAAAGAGGCCTCTACTGGGTTGGTCTCTAGGTGCTACCATGGTATAAATGTTAAATGTTAGTAATGCCCCAATTCTGAAAGCCACGTGGATGACATCTGTGCCTTTGCAGAGTCCCAGTGAAGTCAGTAGGGCTTTGTGTTGCTGCGGGGGTCTGACTGCCCATGTGAAACAGCTTCCAGGATCAGGGCCTAAACATGTAAACTATCATATTTAAAAAGGCTAGTTCATCTATGATAATAGGAAGCAGAGCTTAGCAGGCAAAGTCTGTGCTCTGGTTTTGTTTCCTGTAAACTGCAAAGAGCTGAGCTCCCCGAATCAACCGTACAAGATGTACACTGAATTTAACTCCCTTGGATTTTTTTTCTTATGACATAAACACCAAAAGATATGTTATTTGATATATGTGCCCACTCCAGACTGTGTCCTTCCCCTGAATGAATGAATGAATGAATGAATATGGGATAGAGGGCACAAGGAGCCGCTCTTGTGTATTCCTGGCTCGCCACTCCAAAATGGGCAGGGAGCAGACTCTGCGTGTGTGTGTACATGTACATAGACACCGTATTAAATTATGTTGTGGAAAAAGTATGTATAGGAAAGTCATGACCTTGTGCTTACAGCATTTAGAGAAAAGCACAAGAATAGCTTTATACTGCATTTCCCTGTTTTCTCAAAATAGTCATCTTGTTTGTTTGATGCCAACATCTCATAGACCTAAAAAGCTCAGTGGGGGATTTGGGCATGAGTTGGCACATGTTACTTCTAGTTTATGTAAGGTCTTACTGCAGTTTCTATTTTTAACCATGTTAATAAAAAGGATTGTTCATCATTATACCAGCTTAGCAGACACAAATCACATGCCTAGGCAAATCTTAAGGGGAAGTAAGGTGATTCATTCCATTAATCCTCTGCTGTACAAAGTCACAGTAAATCCTAGTTCTAATATGTGGGTTGAAGGCTAAGACCTTAGGGTTCTACTGTCTAGCATTTGGCGCAGGTTGCTATTGGAATGTCGGATTTTCATTTTTAATATTAATTATATTCCCTAAAAAACTGGTAGAAAATGAATGCTCACTAGGTTCTCTACCAGCACATAAGAAATTGTTCTTAATAGTAATGGACAAACCTTAACAATGTGAAGTTCAGATAAGCACCTAAAATGACTTTGTGCTTTTTCAGACCTTGTATGTGTCAGGAAGCTTTTACTGGAACATATGAAAAAGAACATGACATTTTTGGTCCTGGAAACTGAGCCAGACATTTTAAGAGATCCAGCATTACCTGGTTGCAGCGGGGCAGGAAATAACATGAGGTGGTAATTTTGTTTTTCCACTTTCAGCCTAAAATTATGGACTCAAGTGTATTTAAAGTGAAAGAAGTAGTGTATAGTGGAGGAAGATGTGAAATCAATAGACTTACATTGGTGTAAAGTGGTGAATCAGACCTCCTCTGTTTAGATGAACATTCTTGAAAGAAACCAAAATAATAATAATAATTTGTATGAATGTTCACAGACACCAGAAGTTAAAAAAGTCACAAATACCATAAAAGCCAATGGATGATTTTTATCTGAATGAATGTTTGAAAATATTTTTTCTGTAGTCACCCAGCTCTCACAATGGAGAAAGCCTCTTTAGGTCGAGTAGAGAAATCCAAGCCTTAGTTTAATCTGACACATTCAGACTTCACCCTTCTTGGATATACTATGATTTTTAAAGACTACAGGGAGGAAGAGGCAGAGAAAGCTGGTTAGAAGGTGAAGGAAAGTCCTTCCAAGTATACAGGGAATATGTGAAAATCTGTGGGAATATGATACTAGCTACTTATTTGGAAGACTCCGATTTGCTGAGTAGACAAGTCAAGCAGCATCCCAAATGTCTCCTGTTAGATGACAAGTCAAGCAACATCCCAAATGTCTCCTAGCTTTTTATGCACCAATGGTATTAGATTTGTCCATCTGTCATCTTCTCCTGCAAACATCTCCACACAGTCTTCCACCCTGCCTCTTACATATGGGACACCATCCCTGAACCAATCTCTGAGGCCACCATGCTCTCTTCCTTCAAATCTCTCCTCAAGACCCACCTCTGCTGCAATGCCTATAAGCACTTGTCTACACAAAAAAATTGCACTGCTTAATCTATACCAGTATAATTTAAGTGGCACAAGCCCCCTAGTGTGGATACGGTTATACCAGTATAAAGGTGCTTATACTGCTACAGTTCTTCCTGTAAAAGAAGAACAATAAGCTATTCTGGTATAAGGCACCTTTATACCAATATAATTGCATGTACACTACTGGGTTGTACCAATTTAACTATTTTGGTAGAATATCACACCCCCAACCAAAATAATTAAATAGATACAAACAATGGGGTAAAGTTTTCAAAAAACACCTAACTGTGTTAGGGGGTTAAGCCCATTTTTAAAGTGATTTAGGCACTTAGGAGCCAAAGTCAATGGGACATAAACTACTAAGTTACATAGCTTTTGAAAATTTTACACAAGACTTGCGAAAACAATTAATAATAGGTTGAGGGGCAGATGGGGAGAGGTGGCACATTTTATCTATTGAGTGTAAAAAGCAAAAAAGGGGGGAAATTATTTTTATATAAAAACTATATTTATTTTATTACATTTCTGTCCCCCAACTATTCATATATGCAATTTGTCGTCTTGGATTGCAAACTCTGGGGCAAAGCCAATGGGTGAAATCGTAGCCCCATTGAAGTTAATGGGGGTATTGCATTTGATTTCAGTGGAACCAGGATTTCACCAAGAATCTTTATGTTTATCCAGCATTTTAGCAGAGGAACACCTGTTCTGATGAGGGCCTCTGTCTGCTACTGGAATATAAATTTTAAATGATAACGAGGATGATGAATTCATGCAGTATGGACTGTTGAGTAAATGATAACTATACTTCAACGTTCCTTGATATGTATTTACTATAAACACAGTAGAATATAACAACAAGACTGTTCTAGGCTATTGTCCATCTCTCATTATAATTAAAATATTAAAGAAAAAATATGAAGAAACTTTTGGAAGCTTTTTTTGAAGGAACTCTCATAAATTCCCCCACCACCCACCTCCGGCTCCTTTACTCAAAAAAACAACAACAAATCACCCAAACTATTGCTTGTTAAAATACATTAAGTGTCTTACTTTCAGAATTAATCCACTAAAGCAAGGAAATTCAGAGTTAAGTCTGACACTCTATCCTTAGCTTAGACTTTTGTAATAGTAAAAAAGGTCCAATTACATAAGACGCGGCCTGAATGTCAGTTTGGATTCTTCTCTGATTTTTTGCAGTTGTTGATTTAAGACCTTTGTGATTTAGTGACTAAAATGCTATCTTTGAGGTATAGCCTTTTTTTTTGGTGTGTGCTCAAATCTCTCATGATCAGAAAGAGGAGTTCTGTACGTGTGTGTCCTCTCTTGCAGAGGTACAAACAACTAGCACCATTGTTTAACTGTGATACATGACCTTATTCCTTCTTCCCTGCTGCAGATAACAAAGTGATTTTTGGGGGCAGTAAATCTAATAGTGACAGTTCCGCAAATCTCCAGTGGCTTTACCTTCCTGACTCTGCACTCACACTTCACAGTGATTGGGTCATTGTCTTCAGCTATCACAAGCAGGGTTTCTGGGGAAAATAATGGTGATGGTTCTGCAATTTGAACTCCCTTGGGCGCTGTGCAAATCTGCAAGCTATAGAATCTGTCCTGGCTGTCGGGTCTCTGCTCCTTGCAGATTTTATATGGACTCCAAAGAGTCAATATCCCTAAATTAGGATTAGAGTTCTGAACCTTCAAAAAACAGGGAAATGATGAACAAAATGTGGGCTTTACAGCTCTGGGCAAAAATGAAAGTAAATCTGCCAATCCCTCAAATATCTTGGATTTCAGGGTGATGTGGAGATTTGGGAAAATTAGGAGTTTGAAGAATGTTCTCTTTGTAGTACTTTGGACTAACCCGTATAGCTAAAACAATCCTAATCTCTGAAATGTCCCAATACAG